TAATGTCCAAGGTAGCATCAGCCGTTAAGGAATCTGACTTGAGAGTGCGGGAAATTCCTTCCAGCAATGCGCGTTTGTTTTCTAGGATGAGCTGAATAAGTTTCCTCAGCCATACTATGGATGCCTTGGCAGCAATGGAAGCTGTAGACGCTGCTCTGACCATCATGGCAATGGACTCGTGAATTCTTCGTAGTGTTGCCTCAAGCTTCTTATCAGTTGATTCTTTGAGGTTGCCGTGTCCATCCTCAGAGACTAAGCCAGCAGGCTGGAGTGCAGCCACGGGAGCATCCACAGGTGAAACCTGTAACAACTTATCAGCATAATTGGGCATAGCATACAGTTTTTTGGTAAAGGCGGGAAACTGCTTGTTGACCACAGGCTTGTCCCAACCAGATTTTAATTGGCGTTCGAAGTACTCTGGAAACGGAAACACCTTTTCCTTGCACTCCTCGGGAGGAAAGAACTCCCGGTTGTCACCAGATTTGGATTTAAACTTAGCTCTGGCCGCCTTCTGATATTCAGAAGCAGGTACATCATGTAGCTCTAGAGCCTTAACTGCCTTAGATAAGAGGTATTGATAGTCGTCAGCATTTAAAAACCTACTGGACTGTTCAGGAAGCTTCAGTTCCTCGCCCTCCTCCTCAGACAAGAACTCACCCTCTTCCCTATCCTCAATGGAAGAGGCATTGGACTCTAAATCCTACCTCCATTGTTCCTCAGTAGGTCTCTTAGGGAGAGGGGGGAGCCTTTTTTGCTGCCTTAGTTGGCCAGCCAGAGGGGAAAGGCACTTGAGGACTCAGATGCTGGGCCTCCTGTTGAGAAGCCACATAAGAGAAGCCAATGTTGGATCAGGCCAATGGCCCTTCTAGTCCAACACTGTCACCCCTCAGCCATCATTTCTCCAAGCTAAAGAGCCCCAAGCGCTTTAACCTTTCTTTATAAGGAAAGTGTTCCAACCCTTTTATCCTTCTAGTTGCCCTTTTCTGCACTTTTTACAATGCTATAAGATCCTTTTTGAGGTGTGGTGACCAGAACTGTACACAGTACTCCAAATGAGGTCGCAGCATTGATTTATACAGGGGCATTATGATACTGGTTGATTTGTTTTCAATTCCCTTCCTAATAATCCCCAGCATAGCGTTGGCCTTTTTAATTGCAGTTGCATACTGTCTAGACATTTTCAGTGATTTATCTACTACGACTCCAAGATCTCTCTCTTGGTCAATCTCTGCCAGTTCGGACCCCATCAATGTGTATTTACAGTTAGGATTTTTGGCTCCAATGTGCATCACTTTGCATGCCCACATTGAATCCCATTTGCCACGTTGACGCCCACTCGCCCATCCTTGACAGATCCCTTTGGAGTGCCTCACAATCCTCCCTTGTTCTCACCACCCTGAACAACTGTGTGTCATCCGCAAATTTAGCCACTTCACTGCTTACTTCCAACTCCAAATCACTAATAAACAAGTTAAAAAGCATCGGACCGAGTACTGATCCCTGTGGTACCCCACTGCTTACCACCCTCTGATTAGTACAAATCTCTTTTTTGCTAATGGTTTTGTTCTCTGGATTTAAATATCCATAGATGGTGCCACGCTGAGAAATAGATGTTATTTTTTTGTAAAAAAACAACTCTATCAGTTGTCATATGGTATAATAGTTCCTGCACTGATATTATCGCTTGATAGTGGGGCCAGGGACTGGAAAGGTGTCATTCACTTATCCACATGGGTGACCACCTACTCCTATTTTATGTTTAGGAGCTTACCTGATCTCTGCAACTGGTCCTCTAGGCTAATTTATAATTACATATTTATACCTTGCTTGTCTCCTCAATGTGAACCCAAAGCAGCTTATATCATTCTGCTCTCTATGTTATCCTCATGAAGACCCTGTGAGGTAGATTAGGTTGTGAGTATCTTATTGGCTTAAGGTCACCCAGTTTGCTTCCATGGAAGAAAGGGGATTCAACCCTGGGTCTCCTACATCCTAGTCTGACACCCTGCTACACCACACTGGCTCTCTTTATATTACAAATATATATATACTTCTAACTACCTACCAGCCAAACGACTCAGAAATGAAAAATGTTAATTTAAAGCAATAAGAGCTAGTGTATTGCTGATATGTGGGGATGGAGGCTGGCAGGCTACTCACGACACACAAATGCTGTTCAAGAGTTGGACAGAACTTTTTTCCTTTTACTTACTTCTGTCTTCTAGGATGTATCCAGGTAGCAAAAAATGCTTACAGGTCCACTTTCTTTTTACTTGATTGTGCCTTTTCTTGTGCTTTGTGTGCCCATCCTCATTTATGTATGTGTCTGATGGAAGTAACAACCCCATGTGAAGTTCCATAGAGAAGAATTAGGCAGGACTGTTACAGTCAGCGTCTTCTTAAACATCACTGTCCTATGAAACAGGACAGTTCTCCAATGAAATCAGCCATTCAACAGGAGGACATGCTGCTGAAACAGCAATATATTCAAGATTGTCTTATTGGTTTTCATCATTTGGCTGGGAAGCAACAGGAGGAAAGAACCCCAACAGACTTATTTTTTGTCTCTTGCATGGTAGTAGATATGGTTCCCTTGATGAAATAAGAGCTAGAGTTTCCTACAAATAATGAACCAATTCCCCTAGTGGTACCTTTTGTTTCTTCAAACTTAGAATGAGCCCTTTGGCAGAATTCCGTCCAGCCTTATGGCTCCTGTGACCCTTAAAATAGGCTGTCTTCCCTTTTGTAGACTATGCAATAAATTGTTGTGGTATAGGGTTGTAGTCTCTGTGATGGTTCTCTAGAGGTACTCCTGTGTGATAGGTGGAAAGAATGTGATATTATTGGTACACTTAAATGATGTGGAAAAGAAAGAAAAGATCATGAAAGGAGGAAAATACATACATTCTCCTTCCTGTTTATAGAGGATGGTTCTACTAACCAGACAGCAAAGACAAATGCAGAGAGACCTATGCATTAGGGAAATTAATATTATAATTTTCAAGAGCTAATCTTTTACATAGTTTCAATTCCTCATGGGTACAATATTGAACCAATGTAGAAAATAAATCATATTTTAAAAACCAAATATTTTAACTTTCCAGTCTCAAGATTTTGCATACTAGGTGTAATAGGTTACTTATGACCTCTAACCAGGTATTCTGTGTAGAAGCAGTTGTTCGTCACATGTTAACATATTAAACATTTGAAGTTAGTGTAATCTAGGTATGTAGCAGGGGACGTGAGGTTTTCTTTGCACAGCAGTGTAGGATAAGCTTTTGTTTTAAGCATTTGATCATGTGTGGGATAGATCTTGGTAGAGAGAAAGAGACTACTAAGAAAGATGGAAGATACTGATTCTTAATGTATCTTGGATTTTGTGTTACCTAAATTTTGCTACTTTTTCGTGGTTCCTTTTCATGCTGACTTGGCAGCAGAACTACAATTAAGGGGGACATAACAGAAGCCAATGTCGGATCAGGCCAATGGCCCATCCAGTCCAACACTCTGTCACACAGTGGCCAAAAACACCAGGTGCCATCAGGAGGTCCACCAGTGGGGCCAGGAAGGAGTTGATGTATTTGTTCTCAATGACAGTCCTGCTTATACCCAGGGACAGTGAGGCTGTCATGGCAAGTAGCCATGTCCTAATCCTGACCCTTAACAGGAAATCATTAGGGTGTTGTAGAAAGACTTTTAGCACATGCATTGTTGCTGGTAGTGTTGCCTGTTGTTGTACTGGACCTATAGATTCCACATCACATTTTGAGGGGTGTCAGGGTACAGTGTGGTAAATTGCTTGTACAACTTTGCACAATACTCTGGAATAGTGATTGATTAGTATAGTACAAAATGTGAGATATATCTTTCTTCTTACATCTATTTGTTTTTGGACAGCAATGAAAAAAATGGTAGTGTAAATGGGCTTGTCTTTTGGGAATCCAAACATACTGGCTTTTTTCACATTACTGTACTAAACCGGAAGTTATTCGTTGTTGGCCTGACTTCGAGTAAAGCTGACTCTGAAGCATTATGGTAATTTCAAACAGTGCTGCTTTTTTCGCTGTGCAGTCTTCCTTGGACATTTTAAAAACGTTCACGAAGATGCATTGAGTCAATGCCTCTCAATGGTGCCGCTATAGCAGCTTAGCGCTACAGTGCTCACATGGTGAAAAAGGGTGGGGGGGGGAAAGCAGCATTGTAGGAAATGCTATGGACATTTTAAACAGCACACCACGGTGATTCAGAAGCGCAAAAAAGCGGTTGAAAATGGAAAATAGGAAATGCTATGGACATTTTAAACAGCACACCACAAAAAGCGGTTGAAACCACACTTTACTAACCCAATGCAAGCAGTATGAACAGGTAAATAAGCTCTGTTAGCAGCTGGTTACTAAAACGGGTCTGTCTGAAATTACAGAAAAAATCCATTAGCAACCAGTTACTAAAACAGAATACAAAGGCAGTATGAAAAGGGTCACTGTCTATTGGAAACACTACTCTAGTCTTAGCTTGGGAGTGAGCAATGTCTTGTGGATCAGGCAAAACACCATGCATGTACTTAGAGGTATTGTTTTTTTAATGGAAATGTGTAGCTTGCATCAGGGGCTCCCTGCCTTTGAATTAGGCTAGGTCCCCACTGTACTGAAAGAGTTTGGTTTGGTTCAGCTCAGTATTCTGTATCACTTGAATTCTTAAGAGTACCAGATACTAATTAAGTTTTCTAGTTGTTCTATGAAACATATTCATGAGCAATATTGAGTATATAAGAAAATCTGAACTAAAATTTGGACAAAAAATACTTGCAAATGTAATATATGGTAGAAATGGATTCTCCAGTTCTGAAACATAAATCTGTAACTGTCATGTGAGGCCATAACAGTAAGTTTATTCAGAGTATTAAAAGTATCACATTCCTTTTTGTTTAATTAGCTGATACCGTTTTGATGTACATACTTTTAAACTCATATTTTAACTGACTTTTCACTTATCTCTTTCAGGATTTCTAATCACAGTAGCAGAAAAGTTGAATTTTGGAAACATTCTTCTTGAGTGACAAAGTTCCTATATCTCAAGCTTCCAGCATTACCATCATTGGGAAGATTTGGCTACTTTGCCACGATCCTTGCAGTCATTCCAGGGAATGCACCATGACATCAGCAGTAGTTGACAGTGGAGGTTCAGGCCTGGAATTTGACAGCAATGGAGTACAAATTCAAGGCGAGGTCAGGAAATGTTAAATAGTCCGTTTTCATGCGGTCTTCGTAAATGTTGATTAATGGATAGTAGGGGGCTGATTGTTTAATGAAGACTTGTACAGTTTACAATAGGAGGAAAGGTGGTGTCTGATGCAGTGCAGGTTTGATGAGAAAAATACATACAGTGTTGTTAGTGATCTTCATGTTTTTTACCTTAAAATAAATAGAACAGGCTTGGCCTGGACAATTTAAACTATGAGTTGGTTCCATCAGAAATTTCTGCTGACACAAGCTATTTCTATCAGTAGATGTGACTTCCTTACCTCACTCTTCCTGTTGCAGTCCAAAACACCCCCCAAATGCTACTCCTGGGACACAAGGGACCCCCCCCCCAGAAACTGCATGAGGGGAATTGATAAAACATCCCCCCACCTTGGGTCTGCCAGCAGAAATTTTACATGGGATCCCATCCGGCATCTCAAGTGAAAAGGAACAGTCTGGCTTTTCTGTTTCAAGATAATAGCAAATATCTATTCAATATTCAGAAGAACCCAAGCAACACGGGAATTGGCAGTGATTGAAATCCCATATTTTAAGTTTATGCTCAACTATCCCATTGAATTTTAATTTAGAAGTGGTTAATTTTGGCTGCATTCTAGCCATAATTATTTCAATTCACAATATTTCTGTAATTGAGTAATTTGGCATTTGTTAGCTTCATGAAGACAACACATCACTAATTACATGCAATGGATTCTGCATATTAGGAGTGCTCTGATGCATTTCTGATATGACTGTAGGGCTGATAATGTTCTTCACCTGTTTTAGTGGGTGCACAGAGATGTATTTTAAAGTTACTAAGGGAAAAGTAGAAGGGATGAATTCAATTGTGATGATAAACTACAGACATACTTTCTCACCCTTATAGGAGAATGACCCAGTCTCTGAATATCCAGCAGTGATTGTAGAGCCAGTGCCAAGTGCCAGAGTAGAACAAGGATATGCGGCCCAGATCTTTGTATATGATGATGAAACATACCTGTTACAAGATGTTGCAGAAGAACAAGAAATCGAGACTGAAAATGTAAAAACAGGTAGGTTAAAAACATTCTTTTTGTTAGGGCTCTTCAAGCTTTAATCAACTGATGTGCTTTACTAAAGTTTGAATTTCATATTAAAATATGCTTTCTTCTTCCTGAAACAGGAGTAACTAATAATGAGAAAAAAATCAGCATTAGCAACTTTAATAGCCATTATGTGTACTGCACAAATATTCCTCTGTTCTTCCTGTGTAAAATTTGGTGAAGAAACTTTATTTTCCTTCCAGTGAGTATTCAGAGCTAGCAAATGGTTTGCCTCCTGGGGTGTGAGATTGCTGTTTCTTTCTTTCTGACAATAAAAACACAGCTAACCAGCCAACAGTACTTGTTAAAACTCGTTTTGTTTAAATTTGTATTTTTCACAGTGCTGATGGTTTTTAAAGTTGTTAATTTTCCAGACTATTTTGGTGTGCAGTTATAGTAGGGAATAGCTCTGATTCCAAAACTGAATTAAAATATTAAATATGTTAATTCCTTTAAGAAGTAATGTGCAGTTTCATAAGGAAACTACCTGATAGCTGGTCTTGAAGGATCCATAAAAATATTTTCATTGATACTTTGCATGCTGTGAACATCAGTGTTTTAGTTAAAGCCATGTCAATCAGTTGGTTAGGATTGTCATTAGATATTTTTTGTTAAACGTTTTAAATCGTTGCTGTCCACCCGTCAGTTAAGCATCTTAGCTGGGCCATGAATATACATACCAAAAAACACACCTTCCTCTAAAATTGATGGAATATTTCAACATGTGTCTACTTTAGATGCTAAGGGTGTGTTCAACATGTGTCTACTTTAGATGCTAAGGGTGTTCTGTGAAAGCAGTTAATACAATGAGAATACTGTTCCGCATTAAAATTGTATCTGTTCTGATCCAACCAAGAATTTGTTGTAAAGAGCACCCTCTCTGTCCTTATTTGCAGGAAAGGGTACCATGAAAGGGCAATGTATTTATATACTTACAGAATTTATATCCTGATTTTCTGCCCAAACATGGCCACCAAGGTCTTCTCTAGGCAGATACATTTTAAATGTTCATTGAACTTTTTATACAAGTAGTTGTCAAGAAAAGAAAGGGATTTTTGAGGGCATACCTTCCTTCCTAAGACAAAATAAAGATTGTCCCTTGCTTAAGAAAATAGATTATCACTTGACTTCAAATGAAATGTAACTCTGTGTGGGCTTTTAAGTTTTCCAGAATGGGTAATAACTTGATTTTTTTCAAAACAATAAGATCACGTGAGAAGTGTTTTCTTTTTAGATAAGCTGATACCTTTTAAACATTCACCAATGTTTTCCTGTTCTTGACTTCACATCAGAAATCCTCCCTGTGGCACAAGCAAAGCCTTTTAATTATAAAAATATAATTGCCACAGAGAGGTAGAAGATGTAAATGAAAAACACGGAACTAAACAGAAGCTCCTTGATGATTACCACATGGTAAAAAAACCTGAGGCAGAGAACAGTGTTGGTATGTATAACCTTTTTGTATTCTTACACATAGCTAAGTTGAACAATAAAGTTATAAATAAGGGTGGATTATAAAGATACAGAAAACCCTTTAGCTCCTTTAATAAAAAGTGCTAATTTATGTTCTGAAGCAAGTTTTCTTTCTTTTTCAGATCATATCAGACCACTACAAATACTTATAGCCACTTTAAATCTTCACTTACTACTTTGTAAATTTCATAAGCACAAATTTGAAATGTTTTCTTCTGAATTTTCATCTTCCTACTAAAATATATTTTTTTACATCTTTTGTAAATGAACTGTTGTAGTAGTGATGTCCTCTTGATGATGTAATGCTGGATCAGATGGACCTTGGTTTGATGCAACAAGGCATTTATCTTGTGATTAAGGGAACACCTGTGGAACAATTTAGTATAATAGAAGTGTTCAATCCAGTCCTCTGATTTCCAATTTTGGATATATATTAAATGAACAGTAGGAAAATTAATTTGCCATGCGTTCTGTTAAGATAATGCTTGAAGAATCTGTAACATTAATAACTGTAGACATTAGGTTTGTTATCTTGTCATGAAACATGTGCTTTAACTATTTATTTTTGGAATACTGAATTTCTAAATATGCTCTTCTCCATCCCCTTTTTCTTGGCAGTTAAAGTTGGCATATGGCATTAACAGGATTTTTGTTTGAAATAGGCAAGATTAATGGGCCAGTAGCAGACTTTGTTACTCAAGTTTTCAAAGCAGAGTAAAAAAGCAATGAGCTAGATCCAAAGTACTGCAAGTTGAGCTCCACTGGCAAAATGGAGCTTTCCTACTTCCCCCCTTTCCCCCAGAATTCAGGGAGCCCCCAGGAATAGTGTTGGTGCAGTGTGGAAGTCCAGGGAAGGGCTGGTGAAAATCATCCCCCTCCTCCACCTAGAGTGCTCTATTTAGACCCAGTACTAGCTGTTCAACTAAATATACTTTGGATTACAGTACTGAGAAATTATCTATATTTTGTGCAAAACCAAGATAACTGCAGTGAAAAATGACTGCTTTAGATATCTGAAGTAGTTTTGCAAATTAAATGTTTGTCATTTCTAAATAGGAAGGTTGCTTTAAACACTAAAACAGTGGTTACTGAAGAAACACATACAACTGTAAGTCGCTTTTTGACTTTGGGGGATGTGTAGGAAGCTCTGCTGACTGAAGGAATTTTCATCAATGGAGTGTGATTTAATATGTTGTCGGAGTGTGATTTCCTTCTCTCTCCCCCCACTTCAGTCTGCACCCCCAAATGTCCCCTGAAATGATACCTCTGGTTCCTGGAGCTGCCATGCTACCAATGAGGGGGAATTTGTCAAAAACTGTCCCATCCATTCTGTCACATTTTCTGCTGTATCCAAACCTGTCCATGAAAGCTTTTGCATATATTCATTAGTAATTATTCTTGATTTGGAAGAAAAAAACTTGGTACTGCCATATTTCCTATACTTAATAGCTTATTTTAATTGCTGAGCAATTTGTAGTGATGGCGAAAGCCATAAAGAGATTTCCCATGTAGATCTTGCCTGCTTTTTGAAATTTCATGTTTATCAGAATTAGTATGTTTAAGACCTTACCACTCATATCTGAACAGTGCTCTTTGAACTTGAAGTATAGTACATATGTTGCGAGTTTTCAGATTCTACCAGATTGTGTGTGCGCTTATGTAAGACCTGCCTTATTTGTATATATAATGTTTAAGGGCATTCCAGCATGTATGTTTAGCTTTAACAAGTGGGGATTGTGAAGACGCCTGGGGGCAGGAGGGAAGAGGACATCCTGTTTCTCTCCCCCCAGCCTTTCTGCCCCATTTTTCTCTGCCTCTCTACCCAACTTTTTGCCATTGCCGCAGTTCCCACTTTCTCTCCCCTTTGCCAGCCTTCACTGCCTTTGGTTCTGGTTCCCTGCTGGTTCTGACTCTCTGCTTTGTTCCACCCCTCATCCCTACTTCCTTTTCCTTACAGCTGCTTCCAGATTCCCCTTCCTGCCTTGTTCTCCCCCCCCCCAGCCTTCACAGGTACCCCTTTCCTATCCATAGCAACTACTTCTGCCCTCCAGCTTCCTTGTGATGGCTGTGCGGTGCAGACAACACAGCTCATGATAGTTTGTTAGGAAAATGCAAGGTGGACTGCAGAAACTGGGCAATATGTATGTGTTCACTAGTGCCCTTTCCTGCAGCTTTTCATCTGTTCACTAATGTACCTGCAGAAGCAGTTCACCTACATTCTGCTAACCTTCCCTCTGCCCTGCAGATCTGCATGTGTGCAGGTATCATTGTTGATTTATATAATTCATTTCTTTCTCCCCAATGGGGACCCCAAACAGCTTACATAATTGTTCTAACTTTTAAAGATACTTTTCTACAAACCTGGGATTTCCCCTGGATTTGTGAAATTTATTAGCAGCCTTATGGCCCTGTTTTTTTTTTTGATCCCCGTTGGTGTCTTTGAGCAAGTATATATGCCTATTAAATACATTGATGAATGGGACTGGGCAGCAGTGCTGAAAACTTCTGTACAGTGTCTGCATATTTACTCTGAAGTAAGAAGTAATAAATTCAGTGGGATTTGTTTTCAGGTAAGTGTGCTGAGGGTTTCAGCTTTCACCTGTTTATCTGACACTACTTGTTGCTGAATTAGTTTTGATTAAATCCTGGAGGACAGATTCTCCTGGAAGATAGTTACATTAATACTTATTAGTGATAATGACAATCACCTTCACACCCTGCTTGCAAGTTTACAAAGGCATATGATGTAATGCTGAATCAGATAGACCTTGGCGATTAAGTGAATGCCTATTTAGTATAATAGATGTGTATCCTCAGCTTTTCTTCTCTGTATGACTAACGTTCTACATAAAATAACACCATCAATAGGTACAACCTGTAATTTGAGGCTAGGTGCCTGATATACACATGCAGAAGAATGATGTAGAATACTGAAGGGATAAAGTGGACTGTACCACTGCAGCCAGTGGATTCCACCAAAGGAGAACATTCCAAAAGGTGATCCTCCACCTGTACTCTCACGTGGTCCATGCCGTTTTCCCATCTTTGCCTCTTACATGTGTAAATCACTCCTTGGCTTGGTAGGTTCTCAGGAAGCACTGCCACGTGCTATGCTTGTCACATCTGTGTATATGACCGAGTTGATGACTGCTGCTGTTTAGGTAACGGGACTTAAAGGAGAGCTGTTAGTTCCACGTCTGCCCCTCGATTCCAGAAATCCTCAACGCGACAGCCAAGGACCCGTACGACACAGCACAGGGGACGACTGCTTTTTCCCGGGCCAAAGAAGGGCTTTCATTGCGCGCGGAGAAAGACGCTTAAGGAGGAGAGAGGTGTCCACCTGAAGAAGAGTTCATCGCTCCGTCAGAAGAAAGAAAACCACCAACGCCTGCGAGCTTCTGCCTGCCACCTTTCTTTCGGCATCCTCACCTGGCTTCTTAATGGGGGAGGAGGAAGGCGAGCGGAGCGGCTCCTGCGCCTTTCTTGACCAGGACCGG